TCACTTAATGGGTATCTCCTATGTGGCCACTCTGCCTTCAGTCTTACCCGCTCTGATCCATTAGCAACCTGGCCATTAGGGTAAACATTCTCAAATAGAAATGTTACAGTATCATCTCCCTTGCCTCTTCTGTTTCTATTTTATATACTCTCCCTGGCTTAAAATCCTTCAATAGCCTCCTTTGGAAAAAAATAATCAAATCCTAGCTCTTTAATAGGAAGTCATATTTTAACTTATGCATCACTTGCCACTCTTTGCCTTTTGTTTACTGTTTTCTGCTTCCCCCAAAATGGAATTTTTTCCTATTCCCTATTCTGTTTTTTTGTTTTTTTTTAAGATGGAGTTTTACTCTTGTCATCCAGGCTGGAGTGCAATTGCACAATCTCGGCTCATTGCAACCTCCGCCTCCCGAGTTCAAGCTATTCTCCTGCCTCAGCCTCCCAAGTAGCTGGGACAGAGGCCTGCCACCACGCCCGGCTAATTTTTGTATTTTTAGTAGAGACGGGTTTCTCCATGTTGGCCAGGCTGGTCTTGAACTCCTGACCTCAGGTGATCCACCTGCCTCAGCTTCTCAAAGTGCTGGGATTACAGGCATGAGCCACCTTGCCTGGCCTCTTATTCTCTCTTCATACATAGCTTTCTTTCTTTTACGCCCTTGTTCATGAGCTCTCCTCTGACTAGAATGATCCATCTGTGATTAACTATTAATCCTATTTATCGTATATGTCTTGGTTTAGTAATTACTTTCTCCCAGCTGGGTTGGGTGCCTTTCCTTAGTTCTCATAATGACCTCTGCCTATAGAAATTACTGCTTTTACCACTTGAGTTTATAATAATCTCTTTATGTTCCTCCCTTCTCTTTGGAAACAATGACTGGTTCATAATCATCTTTGTATATCCCGATGTCCAGCATAATGCTTGGAATATATTAGATATTTTTAAAAAGCTTATTAAATAGATGAACAAGAAATCAGAAATTTTATCAGAAATTATAGCTGATAACATAAAGATTGCTGCCTAATAAGTTTTGTCCCCTAAAACAATCAAGATATTTAAGATAGAAAAATACATTTTCTTTTACTATCTTTTAAGTTCAATTGAGAATAAGAACTTGAAAACCAATAGGGAAGATTTTCTGTAGATTTGCAATATATTAGATCTCTATTGGCATGCTAGAGTTACTTCTCTAGGTAATTTTCTCCTGATTTCTATGTTCATTTTGGATCTTAATGCTCTTACTTTGGCTTCTTCTGCAGAAAAATGAATATATAACTGGTGTATGTTAATTTTATTCTGATTAGCAGTTACTTTTCACATAATTACATGGTTTTTACACTACAAAATAATCTATGAATTTGGATTTATTATCCATAGCTTGTAGGGTTCAATCACTCTGAAAAAATTGGCCAATTTCCAGATCTGGCAAACTGAGTGATGTGATCAGTACCAAGATCCCCTTCAGCCTTAAAATTTCTGAATTTATATTTTTAATTCAAAAATAAAAATAAAAATTCAAAGTTGTATTAATTTGGTATTACTCAAAATGCATGGGGACTGTAGAGACACTGTTATAACAAATTCTAACTTTACATTCTTCATGAAAATCTAGAGGGTAAAGAAAATTGTCCATATATTTTTTTTGAATTATAGCTTCTTAGGGAAACACAGAAAATGTGACAGGAGCATGAAAAAACATAGAACTGAGACAAAATAGTAGGTTTACTCCAAGTTTGCAAGTTGTTATATTTAATGCTTTGGTATAAATCCTGTTTGTTACAAAGAACAACTACCAAATAAATCATTGTGTGGAAAAGAATTGATCTGGGAATCAATTATCTGGGAAAGAAAACCACAAAGAAGAGATTGTTAAGACATTTGTTCTTCAGATATGTAACTGTTTAATCTGAAATAAACTTTAGGATGGAAGCCTATTAGGAAAGTTGCTTGCTTAATTTTGCTATTCTACACTCTGATACTGATTGTTCAGGATTACTGCTCAGGCATGCTGTAATGAGAACTGTAGATAATTTACTATGTATACTTACATATGCTAGACATTAAAGGATATATGTGTCTAGTAATAGCAGATGCATATTTCTGCCAACTAAAGAAATGGTTACAACTTTTAATAAATATGGGTAAGGGAATGATGTTAAGATTACGTGTGTCTGTGTGTGAGTGTGTGTGTGGTGTGTGCATGTGTGTGTGCCCATACCCATACTTGTTATGGATTTCAAAAGAGTATACAGAATTATCATTATCTCATACCACTTGCATTGAGATGTTCAATTTTTTCTTCAAGAAGTGAATTTAACTCTTAGAATATTATTGTGGTAGGACTCTCCAGTTTCTTGATACAACATCTATTCATCCCTTTCTCTTTAGAAATAAACTGGAATTTTTATATTGCTTCCCATAATAAAAAACATATTGCCTTCCAGATTTTGCAGCTCAATTTGGCTATGGGACTAACTTTTGGCCTTGAGCTGTTTAAGAGAGATACTTGTGAGAGTTCTTTGAAGATTGGTCAAAGGAAACTAACTCAGATGGATTGTCCCTTTGCTCTCCTGCCTTTCCTCTTAGCTTTTAGCCTGAAAATCCGTGGTGACGGCTGGAGAGCCAATAGTCATCTTGGAACATGACATGATTCTGAAGGTGGGAAGCAAGGCTGGAATGGTACAGAATAAACATAGGAACTTGGGTCCTTGAGAAAATTGTGGAGTCACCATATCTGCCTATAATTCCTACTTTCAGACTTTTTTCTATGTGTGAGAGATCTATCTTATTTAAGTCACTGCTATTTTTGTTGCTAATACTGTTGTTGTTAAGTGAGCATTCTAGTTGAGCCCAAGTTAGGATTCAGAGTCTGGTTATATTTGATGAGTCCCTGGATCAGCATCCCTCAATGCCAACTGTTAAGTGTAATAGGCTAATGATGAATGGACATCTATTTCACGTAACAAAGAACAACTCGTTATGTCCAAATATGATGAGGTCATATTGCTCTTATTTCTCTCTAACCTGAGATTTGGGTCGATGTTCTGTATGAGAAATTGGAAACCTATGTTACAGTGTTCTGTTTTTGTGTTAGGATGGTCGCTGTAAATCTACCTAATAGTAAAAATAAAATATTGCTTGGAATTGTGAAGTAAGTGAATTCTCCATTGTGCAGAAACAAGAACAGCATTATATTTTATATGTAATACTCTTAAACAGTCAATTCATTTATTCAATTAATATATTTGAGCTATTATGGGTTACATAAGTTATGGGTGGGCTTTGATAATTAGTCAACTCATGTCCAATATCACAGGGGCCACTTGTGAATTTAGAGAAAATGGAAGAAAAGAACAATGGAAGCAAATGATGAAAAGTCTAAATATTTTCCTCAAATAATTGTCTTTCTAAAAAATTTCTCATGTTTAAAGACTGGAATTTAAGCTGCATTTTTCTACATGGCACCAGCCTTTTGGTACATATATTAATGTCAAAGATGACTGCTCAAATTACAAGGGTTCACAGCTGTCTCTACAAAATTTCTTAAGTATTCTTGCCACAGTCTCCCCCTCTTTTCTGGGAGACCTGGGGGAAGGGTCTCATATGTCCTTATGGCCAGTAAGCTCACATTATTCACTTACTAGCCACGCTGGTGCTTACAAGATTCTTCATGCAGGAGCGCCACCATTCTGTTTCATGTCCGGATCTTCTAGTAGAACTCTGCTGTCCCGTAACAAGGCTGTATATGTGTTCTTTCTAGGTTACAATTTCCCACACTGCTAAATGATGCTGCATTCACTTTAAACTACACCCTACTGGGGATTGACTTGTTCTAACGAAATGAGGTGACTATTTCTCTAGCCAGCTCTATCAGCTTGAAGTATTACTGCTTATGTCCTGAGTATCATAAAGTCTCTTATGGAAACATTTCTTTGTGTTCTTATTTACAGTCCTGAAGCAAGCATCTTTCACTGCATTTTATCTCTTGTGTCTCTATTGGAGGCACCCAGGGCATGAAGTTTCATCCCAGTAGTTATTTATTCTGCTGTGCAGTTTTACTTTTTCTAATAATTGGCAGAAAGGACTTCTATTGCTCCATCAGTTTGTCAGACAAAATCAAACTTTAAATCCCAGTTTGAACTGCACTGGGACCCATGCTACACCAGAACTTAACTTGGATTCCTGATTGCTTGATAAAATAGCTAGTTGAGAATAAAGCTGTAATTTCTTGACAACAAACATACACACACACTCACCGATATTCATACATATGTACATACAGCAGTCCCTTCATCCACAGGATATGCCCAAACCCACAGTACATGCCTGAAATCTCAGAAAATACTGAACGATATATATATACTATGAGTTTTCTAATACATAGGTACCTATGATAAGTTTAATTTATGAATTAGTCATGGTAAGACATAATAATTATTAATAAACTAATAATATACTGTAACAAAAGTTACATCAATGTGGTATTTTTTTCTCTCTCTCAAGATATCTTATTGTACTATACTCACCTATTTTCAAACCCTGGTTAACCACAGGTAACTAGAATCAAGGAAAGTGAGATTGAAAATAAGTGGTGGTGGGGGGCTACGATATCTCACATACATATATTTCAAGATATGCAAAACCACACACCTCAAAACTTGTAATTTGTATCAACATGATATGCTTGATGCCATAGGCAATGCCATTTTCTCATTAAGTCATCTCTTTTGTTGTAAAACACCATTTAAAAGGAATCACACATGCTAAAACATGTATTTTGGGTATTTTACATTTATCCAGATAGGAATATAAGTAATGTACTTGGTTATAATGTTCCCTTAGCCACTGTTTTGCTACATGCTTCTACATATTGATTCTTTAACACATTTTTTTCTTTTACAGTCTCCCCGTAGTAAATGTAGCTACTATGACTATGAGTGAAAGAGATATGGATGGGTGGAAGAGATATGGAGACGCCAGTAGTTTTGTAGATAAACGCAATGTGAAAACAAAGAACTACTCTTTAATTACTGATACAGAAATAATGACAAGGAAACAAAATTACTTCCTGAATCACACTTTAACAGCTGACTGGTTCGAAAGAGCACAGTTTTTTTTTCTGTTTTCGTCAAATTAAAATCTTAACCATGTAAATTCAAGGCTGTAAAGGACAACTCAGGATCCTTCATAGTAATAATTACAGTATTAAAATGCTTATTTGCTAGAAAAAATGCAAAATCTCAGAACATCTGAGATGCCCAAGCTGTAAAGTGTAATAAAAGCTGTCAACTGTAGTGGAAAGAAAGTTACAAAATATGAAGTTCCGAGTGATTCTTGGTAGCATGAGTTGTGGGATTTGAAGTAAACTGAAAGAAATGGAAGGCATTTGTTTAATATACGATCTTGTTGAAAGACGAGTCCCAGCACAGTAGCTTTTTCCTTTAAAGATTAGCCAGATGTGGGCCTTTTTAAGATCACAAAGAATGGAGCCACGGAAAGAGATTAACAATGCTGGCAGAGAATGGCAGATACAGTAAGGTTTTTTTAAATGGATAGAAATCTATGTAAAGGTGACTCGACAAAACACAGAAGCTGTTTCCTCCTCAATCATTTAGGCAGAAGCTCACACTAAGTAAAAAGATGCAAGGTATTTAGCAGCAATTCCCATTACCTGGTACTTTTATTGCTCTGGCATGATTAGCAGAGACTATTTGGCCAGCGTTGTCAACTATTTGCTTTGTCGTCAGCCTGATGTTTGGTCTGCAATCCCTCTAAAACTAACAGCAAAGGAAAAACACTCAGAAACTTAGGCAGTTCTAGTTGGCAGTGAGGTGTCACCCTTAGCCTACTCTCTGTGAGGTTTATTCTGCATTTTAGAAGCTCGGTGGCTGTTGCTCTTTTTTGATAGCCAACAAAAAGCAACGTCATAGACCTGTTTGGCCGCTGTCCTGGGTCGAAGGGTTTGGCAGCCCTAGGGAGATGAATTTCTCCAGGGTTGGACCCGCCCAGAGCAGAGAAGCAACACCCTTCCAGCCACTACTCTGTTGCTATGAAACAAAAGACTAGGAAGGTAAGCGAAGCAGGAAGTCCCGCCTTCCAGCCCCAGACGGCTTTGGCTCCCGCTCCCGACGCTCACGCCCACCTGCCGCCCCTCATTGGTTAGCTCCCTCGTGCCTTGCATCCCTTCTCCCATTTTCTTTCCCGTTTCCACTTTCGTTCCCAGGCGAGTCCAGGCCCCTCACTTCTCTCCGAGTCCAGTTCCTTTCCGACTTGCTGCGCACCGGCCTTCCTCCGGGGCCATTGTGTACTGTGGAGGACGTGGACGGGGCGGCAGCGCGAGGAGGACGGGCGCCTCCCGCCCATTGGCTGCACGCGCTGTCGGGCAGCGCGCGGGTGCGCGGCATTGGCCCAGCGGCGCGCGGCCCCGCCCCTGCCCCGCCCCGAGCCTGGGTCCTGTGTGTACCACAGGGGTGGGGTGTCCAGCGAGCGGTCTCCTCCTCCTGCTAGAGCTGCTGCGGCGTCCCGCGGCCTCCCCGAGTCGGGCGGGAGGGGACAGCGGGTGTGGATTTGTCTTGACGGTAATTGTGTTTCCACGTCTCGGTGGCCTGCGCGCTGGGTCGCTCCTTCTTCGGGCGCGAGCTGTTTCAGCGATCACGCTGCCCGCCCGGGCTCCGCGCGCGCCCTGGGCTGCGTGCGTGTGGAGTGGGACCCGCGCACACGCGTGTCTCTGGACAGCTACGGCGCCGACAGGCAAGGAGGGAAAGGGTCGCCGGGGAGGCGCCACACTTCTTGCCCGCTCTGGGGCCGGAGGGCCGCTGAGCGCGGGCCACGGTGAAGAGTGGGCAGCCCAGGCTCTCAGCTGCCGGGGCGCCGCTGTCCAGTTTGAAGTGGGGCATTTAAAGATCGGACCCGCAGGCCGGGGAGGAGGGAGGCGGCGGCGCGGATTGTAGCGGGCGGCCGGCGGGGAGGCGCGTCCACCCCGGCGCCCAGCGCTCAGCGCCGGAGACGGACGGGGCTGCGGGCGCGGGAGGGACGCTCGGTCCCCTCCCCGTCCACCTTCCTCCCGCAGCTCACAGCCCAGGGGCCGTGGAGGGGCCTGAGCAGGGAAGGGACACAGGCGTCCCGAGACAAAGCTCTGGGTGAGAGCAGAGGCGAGGGGCGGCAGAAGTGAACTCCTCCTTGTCAGTTTCTGTCTCTTTTAAATGGGCTATTTGTGTGTTCTTTCATTTGGTTCTTGGGAATAACGACTCACCGCGTTGATTTAAAGAAATGTGTTCGTGTGTCTGTCCTGGGCGATTTTAGCGTGGGAAATCCAAGTCCTGCGCCTTTGTTGACAACAGAGTTGTCCCTTACGTTTGTGTAGAATTGTAGAATAATTTTTATGTTTATGTAACTTGGAGAAATCGAACTGAAAGTGAAGTTTCTGCGTGACGCTCCCAAAATGTATGATAGGAACTTCAGTTGTTCTAGTAGTCTGAACTGGAATTAAGGCTGGAGGGGAAGAACATTCTGTTCTTATCTAGGTGGAGGAAACCTGTTTAAGTTTTGTTTGGTGTTTATGAGTTGGGTATTAGTTCAGCCTTAGCTACTTGAAACGTGAGTAGGATGCACCTTTAACTTTTAGTGTTGTAAAAGCAAATCTAGGATCATTGCTCCTAAAACTACTGTGTGTAAAGATTGAGAGTGTAAATTCATGAGCTTATTGATAAAGTTGAATCTGGAACTTTTGGTTTTGCTCTCATTGATGGAGGAAGATGCAGTGGGTACAAGTTAGTGTCTTTAGTTTTCTGGTGGGTAAATATTTTCAAAGCCAACTAACTTTTCTTTTTTTAAATCTGCCTTTCAAAGAACTAAAATTCCAGATGGCAAACTCAATGAATGGCAGAAACCCTGGTGGTCGAGGAGGAAACCCCCGAAAAGGTCGAATTTTGGGTATTATTGATGCTATTCAGGATGCAGTTGGACCCCCTAAGCAAGCTGCGGCAGATCGCAGGACCGTGGAGAAGACTTGGAAACTCATGGACAAAGTGGTAAGTTCTGTCTGACGTTTCTTGTGCCAAACACTATTCACTTTGTCTGTGGTTTCTCTAGATTTATTTATGCTGTTAATTAATAAAAACCATTATTATGGCAACAATCTTTGGATTTCTGTTCATTTTTTTTACTTCAATTCTGTGTTTTTTGAAAAGTTAGATTCAAAGACTTTTTTTTTTTTTAACCTTTTGTCCTTTCTACTCTTTAAGGTTCAGAGTTCCTCTATTTGACTCAATATGCAAAGTTTTACCATTGGCTGCTTTTTGTTGGTGTATGGCCATAGACTGTTTGGAAGTGTTTGTTCTGCCTTATGTGAGGTTGTGTTGCTCTTAGATAACAAAAGAGTACAAGCAGGTTATTTGCCTTTGATGGACCACTCATGACAATCATCTGGTATGATACTGAAAGCATTTACTGGGGAAAGAAACAGATTAGTTCTTAAGTAAAGAAGCAGTGTTTCAGGGAGTTTCCATTTTCATCTTTGAGAATTCGTCTTCATTAAGAAACGTTTTTGTTGTTAATGGGAGAGTTAACAGTTTCTTTCATCTACTATTCCATTTTGAAACAGGAAACCTTTCGATGGCACATTGTTTATTGTGAAAGGAAAATTTATGTTGGGGTTGGTGAGGCTGAGAGTATCAGAAACCTCTGTGGTTTCTGCATGTTGCTTTCAGACAAACTGTAATTTCACAGGAAAAAATCAAGTTGGGTGTCATTATCCAGAGAGGTCCGGTTAAAAAGACAACCTGAATACCTTACAGAGATCTACTCAGAAGCTAGCTGTCAGTATCCTACCTTACTAAGTACGATGATAAAATAAGTTTAAGATGTAGCTTGCTGCTTTGCAAAAATTAATCTTTTTTTGAAGCAACAGCACTGTCCTGCATTTATTGGTAAATATTTGTAACACCTTATGACTTTATTTTTTAAATATCTGGAGCTAATTGTAAGTTTAGTTGAGGCAAGACTCAAGATCTTTATAACTGAAGAAATGGAGGTTTAGAAAAAAATTCCTTTGTAGGGATGTGCCAAAGCATCCAGGAAATCATATGGTAATGTTCATCTTTGCTTTGGTTTGTTGCTGTCTGCAAATAGTGGCTACAGGAAGCCACTATCAGTAGTAATAGCAATATACGAATGTGACAAGATTTACTTTATTTTCATTTATTCTGTTGGAAAGGACACATAGATGAATGACTGGCCTGTCATTCCACAGGCGGTGGTGCTAAATGCAGAGCCAGAATGTTATTGCCCGATAAATATCCTTAGTTTTGGGCTTCAGTGTGACCTATTTAAGCTTCTGCCAATTTATTCAAATTGTTATATTAAAGTACTCCAGACAGAATGATGTCATAGTATCAGAATATTGCAACTTGCTGCTTGGGGTTTTCATTTTAGCATTGGATACTTAAGAATACAGAGGTACACAATTGGAAAAATAACATATATTTGGCAAGCACAATACTACATATCTTTGCTTTGCTAAAGAGTGTGCATTTGAAGGTCACTCTCACTGCCTAAATCATTTGTTGGGGTAAGAGAAGGAATTCAAGGTTTTTTTCTGTAACTTGTCTGTTACATAAGTGGACAGCAAATGGTTCAGATTCTATAAAGGGGCTGCCCTTTTTCCCCCACTCTCCATCTTTAAGTGGTCAGAATCTGTACATCTGTGAGTGTTAGAACATCAAATCAAAAAGATTTATATAAGGAAGTGGTGAGCTGTAGTTACTGTAAGAACATTATTTTTGAAACATTAAAAAATGATGTACACAAGTTTGGTCTATAACTAGTTGTTAACATAAGTTTTATTCACTTTTACTTTTTTCACCATGAGTTATGGTAAAATAGATGGTTATTTGATGGTTCAACATCTGCTATTGTTTATTTTATTAACCCTTTTGTGGGTTTAGGTTTAATCTCTCCAATTGAGAAACTTGACTTAACAAGGAAATCTATTATCCAAAGTCTCTACTTAGTGGGTTGTGGGTGCGGGTGTTGGCAAATGTACATTGCTATGGCTTTCCCTGTTTATCTTCATTATTTGTCAAAGATGAAAATGGTTGTATTCATTTGTGAATGTACCCAGGGGCTTTGTGGAGAGAAATCACATAAGTTATTATGAAAGAATTCAGTGTGTTTATTTTTACTCTAGGATACAGGAAATAGAAAGGCATTGATAATTACTAATTGGCAGTATATTTTATTTAAGTGTGTAGTGCAGAAACATCCCCCTCTTTTGTTTATCTTTTCTTATTTGTTAGTGGTGAAGGAAGTGGCTCATAATATCAACATTGTCCTGATGATTACATCAGGAACTTTATTATTAGTTCTGAAGTTAATCACTTGACACGTTACCTTAAAAAAAAAATAACTGCAATAGCATGAATTTAGTTTGTGAATAACAGAACATAGCAACTTTGAAGTTTAATTGGTAGTTATGTAAAAGGCAGAGTTAAGTGTACAGCTAGTATTTTTTTCTTATGAAGCCTCTTCAGAAGGGTAGATCTTGGAAGTATAAATATGAACACAAGCTTCAATTTCAGTGTGTTTCAGCTACCAATAAAGTAAAATAACTATTTTTACAGGGAATAATGAAGCAGTCTTGGGTGTAGGGGAAATATCTAGGAAGTATGTAGTTTTTCCATTTCTTGGCCTCTAGAATTTAAAATGGTCAACTGAAATTCCTTCCAACTAATCGCTCTGTTTTCAGAGGGCACGCTTTTTCTCCAAGGTCACTGAGAATAGGAGAGAGTAGTTGCTTAGTTGTGTTCTTTATAGGAGGTAGAGTGTTTTGTACCAGAACAACAGTAGTACAGAGTTAGCATAGTCCATGTTTTGAGGAAAAGAACGGTAGATACTAGCATATCCAAAAGCATCCCATTTAGACAGATTTTCTGGCCTTAGCTCTACATGTCAATGTAATTTGATAGCTGACCTTAAAGCGCTCACATCAGTGGATGCCTATTTGATACAGTGATGGAAATATTACTCATGAATACATACGTAGGTTCAAGTGCAGCCCAGATGAAATGTGAAGTCTCTTCTGAAGCTACTCAAGAGAAAGATTTCTTAAACATTAAATAAATATTTTTTTGAGGGCCTACTGTGTTTCCACTAAGTGCCATTTACTAGAGATATGAAGCTAGACAAGACATAATCCTACCTTTGACCAGTCAAGGAACTCAGAGAGCAGCATCAGAGTTAAACATATAAATGGCTAATTGTCATGTAGTATGGAAAGGGCTGTACTACAAACCCAAAGTACA